TGTAGCGTTCCTGACAGTCCAAGACCAGCTCGTCGTCGCCAGTCGCCAGTCGCCTGTCGACCGCCCTCCAGACGCTGTCTCAGATGATGTGGCTCGCCGTGGATGGTCCGTCTGGGCATGGGCGTACGGTGCCGACGCTCGACCATGCGGACCTCGTCCTGGCTCAGAACCACCGCATCGCAGGTCCTTCGGAGGTCAATTGTTATGAGTTCGGCACGGTCTCGGTCAAGTACAGCGTGCTGTGGGGATCCCGAGATGGGGCCTGGCTCAAGGTGCTCAAGACGTACTGGAGTGTCCCAGAGCCGGAGTGCCAGCTGATCCTCGGGAGTTGGAACGGCATTTTCAGGCCGTGGCCGGACACGTTCTGGATCAGGACGGGGGGGTCCGAGCCCGAGATGGAGTGCTAGCGCTCTGCAGTACAAGTGCTTTTCAGCATGCGACATCCTGCGGTGCTTCTCAGCCTGCAGGGTTCGCAGCGTGCGGTTTGCAATGCATTCCTTTTCAGTATGCGAGTTCCTGCGGTGTTTCTCAGGTTGCAGGGCTCCGAGGCTCTTCGCTTCGATGCCAATGTTTTCAGACACCGTAGCTCCGTTCCGTAAACATCTTCCAAGAGCCGCTCGCAACCTTTTGCAGCTGGCGGTCTGCAGACGCAGTCTGTCTCAGCATGCGAGCTCCCGCACGCTTCGCCGGCTTTTGCTGCGCGGACAATTTTCTCACACACGTCAGCGCCGTTTGTAGGCGTCAGAAAAACATGTAGACATTCACGAAGGGCTCAGTCTGTATATCGTCACATCATTACATACGCAGTCGTCGAACACATCGGTGTACATTCAGCGCTTTGTCCTTCTAGCTGGGTCGCTTCGTGCTGAGGCTGAGGCTGATGCAGGCTGAGGCTGAGGCAGGCTGAGGCTGAGGCCGAGGCCGACGGCAGACTGAGGCTGAGGCTGAAGCAGGCTGAGGCTGAGGCAGAGGCAGGCTGAGGCTGAGGCTGAGGCTGAGGCAGGCTGATGCTGAGGCAGGCTGAGGCTGAGGCTGAGGCTGATGCAGGCTGAGGCTGAGGCAGGCTGAGGCTGAGGCCGAGGCTGAAGGCAGACTGATGCTGAGGCTGAAGCAGGCTGAGGCTGAGGCTGAGGCAGGCTGAGGCTGAGGCAGGCGGAGGCTGAGGCTGAGGCAGGCTGAGGCTGAGGCTGTGACTGCGATTGCCGTTGCCACTGCGACTGTCATCGCGAATGCGACTACGACTGCGAGAACAGCAGAATTCTACAACTGGATTCTCATCCGAATCTTAAGGGGAATGCTTCCAGATATGCTCCTACACATGGCTGTTAGGTTGCTTTGCCGGGATAATTTATTTTTCGTCCAAAATCCCCCTGTAGGGGGACATGCCCGACTTAAGTCCAGGGGGCTTCCGCGGGGCCAGGAATCCAGGCGGTCCCGTTCAGGGGGCGAAGGTTCTCGCGGGGCTGAATCGGGCCTAATCCCACGGAGTCGTCTGACGAAAATTTCCCACGAGTTGCATCCGACGAAAGAGAAAGTGGAGGGTCGGGTGGGGCTGGGGCGAGGACAACTCCGTTCCAGAGCGTTCCGGAACGCTCTGAGAAGGCCGCGGCGCCAGATACATCCTCCAGAGCCGCCGGATCCCAGAGCCGCCGGATCCCAGCCGCCGACCCATCCGTACCCGATTTTATCTCGGCAATTGGAGCATATAGATGTATCTCTCTCTATATATATGTGTGTATGTATGTGTATATATATAAATACACACGGATGTGTATATTCCTTTTCTTATATTTTTATAAGCCCAGGCGGGGGGAAAACCCATCGACCCCCCCCCCAAAAAAAAACCAGACTCCCGAGATCTGGGGCTTTGGGACCCTCGGGACGGGCCTCGAAGCGGCCCCCCTGGCCTCGCAGGGCGTTTTGCCAAGCCTTCCCAGCACACTAGGGCGATCAGGGGGTCATCGGAGACGTCTCAGAGACCCGCATGACAGCGCAAGAGCGCTCCAAGAGTGACCGGCGTGACCTCAAGATGGCCCAAGAGGCCTCCAGGACGGCCCCAAAGAGGCCTCCAAGAGCACTCCCAAAAGGCAAAAATCATGGATTTTCTAGCAGTTTTTGGTGAACTTTCGGGTTCTCCTCTTTTCGGCTTCCCGACGCTCCAAGACGGCGGTCTTCTGGGCGTCCGAAGCCACCTGGGAGGCTCCAACCATCCGAAAGGGCTTCCAGGCAGTCCAAGAGAGCCCCAAAACTGCACAACACGGGTCCACGATGACCCTCAGAGAGCCCCATGGCGGCCCAAGATGGCCCCAAGACACCCTCCGAAGCATTGAATCGCTTCGCTCATTCCGCCGGCCCGTGATATGGCATCGCTGGTTTTTGTCTGTGTGTTCGTTGCCCATGTTGCGCTCTTGGGGGCGGGTGTCGTTCGGACGCGTTGCGTGGGGAGTTTTGATGGTGAAGCAGTTCCCTGGGGGTCGTCTCTCGATGGGGCGAAATAGAGTCGTCGTCAAGATGCTTCTTTGGGGGGCCTCTTGGGGTCTGTTGAGAGGCCGTTCGGGGGCGCCTGGGAGACATGTTTGAAGCCTTCTGGGGCTTCTTTTGGGCCTCCTGGGAGTCTCCTGGGGCCTCTTGGCGACATCTTGGGGCCTCTTGGAGGCCTCTTGGGGCCTCTTTGGGACCTCCTGGGCGCCTTCTGGGACGGAGGGCTCCATTTTTGAGTTCTCGGTATCCCTCCTGAGTCCCTCTTGGGCCCGTCTTGGGGCCTCTTGGTCCGTCTTGGGCGGCACTTGGGCCGTCTTGAGGGCTCTCTTGGGTCGTTTCGGCGCCGTCTTGGGAGCTTCGTGGGCCGTCTTGGAGCGGTCTTGGGGGCCTCTTGGGCCGTCTTGGAGCGTCCGGAAGCCGAAAAAGCCAGAACACAAAAAACATCGAAAAAACCAATGAAAATCAACGATTTTGGCCTCTTGGGGCTCTCTTCGGAGGCCTCTTGGAAGGCTCTTGGGGCGTCTTGGAGGCCTCTTGGGCTGTCTTGGGGGCCTTTTGGGCCGTCTTGGGGTCATCTTCGGCGTCTTCGAGCGCTCTTTGGGCGTCTCGGGGGCCTCTTGGGCAGTCTTGGGGGCCTCTTGGGGCACTCTGAGCGCGCTCTGGGGAGCCTGAGAGGCCGCACCCAGAAGGAAAACCATCTCTGAGTAGACTTGGTCGGGCGGCGGTCGGGCGGCGGTCGGGCGGCGACCGGGCGTTGGTCGGGGTACTTTTCGCCGGGGGACCCCCAGGGGCCGCCCCGCGCGCGCGAACTAGAAATACTGTTAATACTGTTAACCAGTTACCGGAGATCTTAGCACGCCCTGGCCCGTTGGGCCGGCGAATTCCAAATCGTGACCCGGTCGTTCAGGGAGACCGTGGTTGGAGGCAGGGTGGCCCGAGGAAGCCCCCAGAGGCCCCCAGAATACGCCCAGGAGGCCTCCAGAAGGTCTCAAGAAAGCCTGAGACAATTTTTGTTGTTGGCCCCCAGAGGCTCTCCAAGGAGGAGCCTCCGCAAAAAAAGGCTGAGGAGGATAGGGAGAATGCGCAGGGTATGGCGAACATGAGGAAACAGAAGCATGGAGGAAGGAAAACGAATATCATTATCATAGCGGCGATGCCGGAAAAGGCAACAAGGAGTTATCGCTAAATTGTCGGCTTGATCTTCCTCCTATTCCGCCTGCAAACCAAACTTCAAGGACCAAGGTGCATGGCGCGAAGCGCCACTGCAGTCTTGTATATATATATATATATATATCCAACCAGAGGCGGGCTGTTACTCAACACCAGGACTTCATGAGGGTCGGGGACGACGTCGGTGTGGTGTATATGTTTCCTCCGTTTTCCTGGGGAGGCAACGAAACATGTACTACACCAGGATCTCGTATGCACCAGGATCCGCTTTCCTGTGCGAGTTTCGGTGCGGGGACCGAAAAAGCGTCGGTGTATAGAGCTCGGCTTCTTAGCATCCTCGTCCTAGTACCCTCGTCAAAATTAACATCAAAAATGGCGAACACGCCCCTGCGATGTCGGCGCGCCCTTCAATGTCAATACGACGCCCCGTCAATGTCGGGGCCAGGGCAAAGGTGGTCTGACTGGTAACGACTCGGAAGTTCGATGATGACCGACATCGGAGGGGCGGCGCATGATCACAAGCACCTCGCAGTCATTGCTCCTCTTTTGCCAGTGTCTCTCCACAAAATGTTCAGCCACGTAGTACATGTTTGTGGTTAATCGTGGCGAGAGTTGTAGCTCATCGATCCGGATGGCTTGGGCGTTTTTTCGCAGCAGGGCACGGCGGGGTTTCCTGGAGGAGGCGGCCCTTGCCTTGGAGGTCCTTCGCCGCCTGGCATCGTCGCTCGGGCGTGGGCATTTTTTTGCTCTCCGGCGAGGCGAGCGCCAGAAGATTTTGGGGAGCAGCCTGAAGCATCTTGGACCAGGTCGGGCCTGTCCCTCGACAGGGGGGACATCCAAGCACAGCAAAACGAATGGGTCTGGGGACGACTTTTCGAGGGTTGCAGCTTCGGCTTGGAGGGTCGGCCCACGCGCGGGCCTCGCCAACCCGCGGCGACGCGGACAATGTGGCAACCTGGCGTCGGTTTTTCAGAGATCGTGAGAGATTTGACCATTCGTTTTAAGAACCACTATTTTTCTCACGTGAAGTGGGTTATGTCGCGTCTGCCTGTCGAATTCTCAGGTCTGCAGCTGCAAGATTACTGTCAAAAGACGTGGAGGAACCGACTTTGTATCAACCCAGAAAATGGATTTGGGGAGTTTTCGCGCTGAGTTCCGAGCAGGCTTCCTTCTGACAGTCTCAGCACTCATTCGCGTGGATAGAGCTCTACGAGGGTCCCGGCGGAGCCTGGTTGACGGTTGACCGCCGGCTCCCAGTCTGGGGACGACTTCTCGAGGGTTGCAGCTTCGGCTTGGAGGGGCGGCCCACGCGCGGGCCTCGCCACCCCGCGGCGACGGCGGCGCGCGAGCAGCCGCCCGCCGACGCCGCGCTCCTGCGGCTGCTCGCCGTGGTGGCGGGCGCCCGGGCGGAGGCGCGCGCCCGCCCCGCGGGGGCCGGGGCCCGGAGAGAAGGAGCGCCCACCCTCGGGGCTCAAGAGCCTGTTTTTCTTTGGACTCGGGCAAGTTTACTTGCATGGCGTTCGCCCCCCCCCCACCCCCCCCACCCCACCCCCAACACACCCCACCCCTCGCCCCTCTTCTATCGAATACGAGCGTGCAAGTGCCTTTCGACTTGCGTGATTTCAGCACGTAAAGTCGTTTGCGGCAGGCCCCCCCCCCGCCCATGCAAGTAAACTTGCTAGAATCTAAAAAAAACCGGCTCCAAGACTTGAGTCGGGCATGTCCCTCTACAGGAGGAGTAGTCAAACACAGGAAAACATACACTCTGGGTACAATTTTCGATGTTAGGGACTATGATTGTTTTTTATGTGTTTGAATTGTCCCTCAAAGTCCGCCTGCAGGAGGACATGCCCGACCTAACTCAAGAGACGGGGGTCAATGCAAACGGGGGTCAGCCAGGGCGCCGGATCTTGCAGGATCTCCTGCAGAGCCAGGGGTGCGCTGACCCGGGCTTGGGTGCAGGATCCTGCAGGGTGCTGCAAGGCCTGACTGACCTGGGTTTGGGTGGACCCGGGTCAGTAGATCCCCGACGCCCAGACGAGTCGATTGAGGAAACCAGGGACAACGATATGGGGGGATGGGCATAGGGGGACAACGATAGGGGGAGGGGGGATAGGCACAGGGGCCCCGAGAGATGGGATGGGGCCGTCTGGGGCTTTAATGTGGCCTGGCACCGGTTCCGGCCAGCACGAAGGGCAGGCAGGTTCGAGGTTCTGGGTTTGGGACGGGTTTCTATACTTGTTGGCTCTGGGGGCCGTTTTCGGGCCCCAGGACCGCGAAAAGCGGATCCAGGGTGAAGAATTGCACCAGAGGGACCCCGGGAGGGGTTCAGGGACCGATGTTGAGTGGATTTGACATCGTCCATCCTCCCGACCGATGTCCTGGGATCCCCAGAAGTTCAGACCTCCCGGCCGCCTCCAGCTTGATAGAACGCCCACCCAGACGGGTCGACTGCGGAAATCTGCACGGGTTCATTCGACATTGACACTGACAGTCCCCAGGCGGTTTCGCTAGTGATGTGCATCTTGCTACGGTAGGTACGTGCGGCGATGGCGCGCCGGCGACGCCAGCGAAGGCGTTCAATGTTGAGTTTTGAGACGCGGAAGCGCCGAGGGACGCGGTAACGCCACTGGATCCAGCTGAATTCTACCTTGAACGATCTTGGCCGTGATCGATTCAAGGATGAACGATCGATGTGGTGTTGTGTTGCAAACCTGTGCGCGCGCCGACGCCGCGCGAAGCTACCGTGGAGACATTCGGTTGTTTTTGGATGTCGATTAGCTGCTCCGCTGGGCTCCACTGGAAGTGCGGTGCCGTGCGCACTTGGAGTGCCCCTGACACTAAAGTTAAGTCGGGCATGTCCCTCTACAGGAGGAATGTTCCAAAATAGTCAAAAATTGTCTGAGGACGATTTTTTGAGCATTTGTTTGCCATGTTGTGGTGCATTTTGTTTTACTTGTCGTCCAAAATCCCCCTGTAGGGGGACATGCCCGACCTAACCCTGGTCCGAAACGACGTTTCGCTGAAGGGTCAGTCCCGTAGTCTTCTTGTTCTCGAGGTCTGCCTCTGTGGCCCGTGCTCGGGCCCCAGGACCGGCAGCAGCGGACTTCGGGGCGAAGCTTTGCCCCCCCGGGGAAGGGGTCGGGAGGCTTGGGCCCCGAAAGTTGACAGAAGCCCAGCGGAGGAGTTCTTCGGGTGTAATCGCACGAAGAAGGTTGCAGAGCCTTCTCAGATAGAGTTCTGGAGCGTTCTGGGATGGTCGCGGTGCTCGCGGCATCCGCCAGGCCCGCTGGGCCTCAGAGGTCCCCGAGATGTATGTCTCCGATGCCTGCCTACGTCCGGGAGCAGCTTGTCACTCTAGCGTGGTCACGCATGAGCTTTGAAAGGAGATTTGGTCATCCTGTCTAGGAACCACGACTGGAAATATTGACGGAAGTAAGCATCCCCCGTTGAGGCAAGAAAGATTGTCTGACAGTAGTGTGTTCGGCATCTTACGCGCTGGACGCATCTTGTCGGCACTAGCCTGGGCTGCCGTATGAGTTTCGAGTGGGCCGCGTTTTGAAATCCCAGGACCCACGCAGTACCATCGCATAGGCGTTGTTAGACTTCTTCGGAACAACCTAATTACGCTGCGCATATCCCAGGCGAACGCCGCGCTTCCGATCTCTCTGGCCACGGGGCTCTGCGTGACAATTACCCATGAACGTGCAGCATGTCGGTGCTCATTCGTAGCTTGTGCTGGCATGGACCGGCGCTGCGCGGTAACCAGCCAGTGTAAAATGATTGCCAAGCCACGGTGCTTGGTTTTCGTCGTTGATCGCTAAGACAGCATCTGTGTCGTCCTGCGACATCCCACCTGCCACTGAGCTCTTGGATGCGCTTGCTGCTTCGAAGTCTCGGTCAGCAGGGTACCATGCGCTTCAAGATAGTAGGTCATGTGAGCCCCGAGCGTCCCAACCAGGCCGTTCAGGGACCTCCACCACGCCCATGTTCGGGAGAGCTCTTGCCATAATCTTCGGGGCGCCACAGGAGCATTTCGGGGAAATCTTTCTCCTGCCGCCTCCAGCACCCCCCCGTATCCCTTCAGCCTCCTCCCTCGACGGTCGGCACCTCTACCTGGACCTGTCCGCAGCACGTTCTGACCTGAATCCCAGCGCGACTGTAGACGTGGCGACGAGGACGCCAGCAGAAGCCGCGAAGGCTCCCTGATAAGATGGGAGGCTTGCTCTCTGCGAGGAGAAGAGGCGATGAGAGCAAGGAGCCACATGTTTGCACAGCTGGCAAGGGAGGGGACATGAGCAGGAGGTGGAGGAAGAGCAGTACCAGGAAGAGGAAGAGCAGGGAGAAATGGAAGGAGTCGGACGGAGGAGGAGGGGGGCAGTCTGCAGGACGAAGAGGAGGTCATCACCCACACCGCCGTGACAACGGTTTCGTCGACTTGATCCGATGCCGAAGTACCCAATTCTTATGGTTCCTTCTGACATGGCGTGCTGCATGCTGGGTTCCGTGGAGCACTTCTGGACTCTGTCAGGCAACGCTCTGAATCGTGCTGTGCAAGAAATGGGGCGTCTTGGACGGGATGCGCCCCCGCGCTGGCGAGACGAAGCGAGCCACGCGTCGAGGAGGAGGGCAAGGGTCGGATCGGGAGGGGAGCGGGAAGGAGGTGTCCAGGCGCTCCCCGCGCCGTCAGGTGGCATCCACACCCACCTGCTGCCGGACTCAGTGGGTGTGGATCCCCTCCTCCTCCTCCTCCTCCTCCTCCTCCTCCTGGTCCCTCCCTGCCGCTGCCCCTCACTTCAGCGTCCCGCCCCGATCCGACCGAGCCAGCGAGAGTTCCACCCCACGTTGGCCGCCGGCCTCGGGCGCCAGCGCCGGCGCGGGCGTGTGCGGTGGGACCGAGCTATACGGTGGGGACGCAGATGCTCTATCCACATCCTCCTCCTCCTCCTCCTCCTCCTCCCTCCTCCTCCTCCTCCCTCCTCCTCCCTCCTCCTCCTCCTCCTCCTCCTCCTCCTCCTCCTCCTCCTCCTCCTCCTCCTCCTCCTCCTCCTCCTCCTCCTCCTCCTCCAGGGCACGACTCCGAGGCGCAGGGCGTGCATGCGTTCTGGCGGTCGGCCCCCGCGCCCCAGCCCCAGCCAGGTGCTCCTGGCCCTGAAGGACCGCACGGGCGAGGTGGAGCGCTTCCTCCAGGGCGCCGAGGCCGCCTTGTGGTCCACCTGGCGAGCGCCGGGCGCCGCTGCCCAGCGCGCGCGCGCCGACATGGCCACGGGGCTGCGTCAGCAGGGGGGGGGGGGATGGGCTCAGGGGGGGCACGCATCGCCCTCCGATCGCCGGGTCCAGGACCGATGCATCGTCCTCCGATCGCCCAGGCGTCGCCCTCCGAATGGCCGATTCATCGCTGGTGCCTTTCGGGGTCCGATGGCCCGCCCTTCCCAAGACCGTGCGCGGCTTCGCTGCCGAGAGGCTACCGCCGATCTGCTGGCGCTGTGTCGCCGATGCCGGGACGAGGTTCCCCCCCCCACTGAGCCTGTCCCTCCCTATCGTTGCCCCCCAGTCGTTGTGAAGTCCGGGAGGGACCCAGGAGGGTGCGAGGCCAGAGGTTCGTTCGTTCGTTCGTTCGGAGGAGGAGGAGGTGGAGATGGAGGTGGAGGAAGCGGAGGAGGAGGAGGAGAAGGAGGAGTGGGCACAACACTCAGCACCTGCGAGAGGAGGTTCTCTCTCTCTCTCTCTCTCTCTCTCACCACCGCCACGGCTATGGGGCTCGAGCACTTATATCACGCCGGCGCTCCGGAGCGCTGTGGGCTCGCCGCGGTGTCTGGTGTGGATGCGAGGGTGTGTGTGTGTGTGTGTGTGTGTCTGTGTGTGGGGGGCGTGTGTGTGTGTGGTGTGTGTGTGCTGTGTGTGTTGTGTGTGTGCGTGTTTGTTGTGTGTGTGTTGTGTGTGTTGTGTGTGTGTGTTGTGTGAGTGTGCGTGCGTGTGTGCGTACCTGCGTGCGTGCGTGTGCGCGCGTGCGTGCGTGCGTGCGTTCGTGCGTGCGTGCGTGCATGTGCATGTGCATGTGCATGTGAATGTGCATGTGCATGTGCATGTGCATGTGGATGTGCATGTGCATGTGCATGTGCATGTGTACGTGTATGTGTATATGTATATGTACGGTACATCGACAAAATGTTGCACCACCTGGTGATGTCAAGAAAGCAAGCCGATTTTGCAATGGATGTTCGCTTCCACCCCCCCCCTCCCCCCAATCTTAACATTGGCTGCGGTCCCGGGTTCATCGAAACGGCTCGGTGGTGCAACATTCTGTCGCGAGCCCTGGGGGGGCTTCAAGGGACCTTTGCCATGTGCCCAATATTAAGATCAGGGGGAGGGGGGGGAGGAGCAATCCAATACAGCTGACAATGCGCGGCAAAAGTGGTGCAACATTTCGTCGGCGTACGGTATGTGTATGTGTATGTGTATGTGTATGTATATGTGTGTGAATGTGTGTGTGTGAATGTGTGTGTGCGTGTGTGTGTGTGTGTGTGTGTGTGCGTGTGCGTGTGTGTGTGTGTGTGCGCGAGCGCAACCGCCACATCATATGTGTGCATCTTTGAGTGCGCTTGTGTGAGCTTGCTGGTGTGCATCCTTTTGTAGCAGCGTCGACACCAAGCAGTGATTTGTTGAAGCCTCGATGTGCCCCCCTATGTGGGGCAACCTGTTTGTTGCAAGCCATGGGGATTCAGCAGATGTTGTGCAACTTATGGGATGCGATCTATTCGTTGCCAGCCATGTAGTGCTGGCTACCTGGTGCAAGCTGTGGGGTGCAGCACATCAGGTGCAGGCTACGTGGTGCACGAATTATATGGCATGTGGGGCGCGAGCTGCCCGCTGCAACTTGTTCGGCCCAACGTGTGCACCTTGCGATCTGCGTGGCGAAAGCACCCTGGAACGCGAGCCGACCTGCGAGGCGGACGCGGGCGGAAGCTTGGAGATACCAGCCTGCCCGTCCCCACGGGGAGCCGTAGCGGGCTCGCCCCCACCCTTCGGGCAGAGCTCCTATAGGAGAGCGCTGCGGCGCCCAGGCTTTGCGCCGTGCTGGCGTCTTTTTTTTCGTCCTCGGTCTCGACGCCTCGCTTTGTGGTGCTGGACGACGGCCAGGGCTGTTCGGCTGCTGGGCAGCGGAGCCACGCAAACAACGAACAACAGCAAAAACATCAGCTGCAACAACAACCAACAACAGCAGCAACAACAGCAACAACATCAACGACAACAACAACAACAACAACAATAACAACAACAACAACAGCAGCAGCAGCAACAACAACAGCAGCAACAGCAACACCAACAACAGCAGCAACAACAACAGCATCAGCAACAACAACAATAATAGTACGATCAATGATAGTAATAACAACAATAACAACAACAGTCACAACAACAAGTACAACAGCAACACCAAAACCAGCGCGATGGGCGGGCGCGAGGTGGGCCCTCGCGGCCACTGGCCTGACGGCGCACGGACTCTTTGGGGCGCCGGCGGCGAGCGAAAACCCAGAAAAGCGAGCAATGATGGGGCCATTTCCCACCACCACTACCATAGGTAGGAGAGGGAGGAGGAGGAGGAGGAGGAGGAGGAGGAGGAGAAGGACCAGTGTAAACCCAAGAGCCATCAATGATATTGGAATACATCCTCCCTCCAAGCTCCCTCATCATAGGCCCCTACAACGGTTCATTTCCATTGAGGGATCTGCCTCGTTGGAAGACAACCGTTTGAAGACCCGGAAGCATGCCAAAACATTGTTCTCGGGATTTCAACGCCACGGATCAACCTGACTGTTGCGTCTTGGCGATCCTGGATCGTGCCAGAACGCCATTCTTGGGATTTCGACACCGCGAATCAACGTAATTGTTGCACCCGCAAAATCCAGAATTCTTCCAAAACGCCATTTCTGTTACGTGGATCGTGGGAATCCGTGAACACCTTACAATTTCGATGAACGAATGTGCGTGGCGCGAAGGCGAGAGCCACATTTTGAAAAGGAGCCGCCCTCAATATGTGAAGCTCTGGCAAATGTTTAAAATGAAAGTGCGGCGCTAAAGCGAGAGCCACATATTGAAAACAGGTTATCCTCAACCCGTGAAAATTTTTGAAATTGTTTAGAACGAATGTGCGTGACGCCAAGGCGAGAGCCACATTTTGAAAACGGGTGACCCTCAATCCGTGAAGCTTTTGCACAGTTTCAAAACGAATGTGCGCAGCGCTCAGGCCAGAGCCACATTTTGAAAGCCAACCGTCCTCCATCTGTGAAACTGATGCCAACTCTTAAGCTTCATATTCATCAACAGTGAAGAATTCTCAGGCGAAGCGCCCGGTCCGCCCTAAAAACTGGCTTCGGGGTGCGACAGGGAGAAGTTGGTTACAAGGAAAAGAACTGGAGGAGGAGGAGGAGGAGGAGGAGGAGAAGGAGGAGGAAGAGGAGGAGGATCTGCTCATACTCCTTTCTCCCCCGTCCTACATATGGTAGTGGTGGTGGAACGTTTGCCCATCAAGCAACCCAGACACGGCGTTTCGTCGAAGAAGTCGAGAGCGCGATTTCTCTCACAGACTTCGGCTTCTCGGGGCTCTGGCCGACAGCTGCGGGGCCGTTGAAGGGAGCGGCTTGGGATGAGAGAGTCGTCCTTGGGAAGTGGTCGGGAGATATGTTCGAGCGGGGCTAGGACGAGGATCGATTTGTTCCAGAGCGTCTCGGAACGCTACCAGAGAGTTCCGCAATGCTCTGAGAAGGCCGCGGCGCCCGAGGCATCCTCCAGAGCCGCAGGATCTTAGAGATTTGGGATGTATCCTCTCCGGATAATTTGCCCTCGTCCTGGTTTCGTCTTACATGTGGCCCGTGTTTCGAGACGATGTATGGGATGTACGCCCAGGGAGGCCGACCATTTTTCCTCCAGGAGTGGAGCATGATTTTTTGGGGGGCAGCACTGCTGTCGCTCGGGTCCTTGGCCTCGGAGTCTGGGCGCCCTCCTCCCAGACCCCCTTCCCAGGGGCATCCCGGGCCACCCCGCCACCGTGCAAAACAGGCTGAAACGCCCCGCTCGCACGTGTGGCGCCCAAGACAGGGATAGTGGCGCAGTCCAAAGCGCGGTACGCGCCTGTGGGAGGCGGGTCCAAGACGCTTGAAAGGACGCCTGGGGAGCTTGCAAGCCTGAGAAAGGTGATTCGCAGAAGCTCCCAGGGAGCTTCGAAGGATCTGCGGGAAGGCTTCTGGGAAACAGGTTGGGGACGAGTAGGGAAACGCCTTCGGGACGAGCTGCAAGCTCAGAGGAGCCGCTGCGGGGGGGGGGGGGGGATGCTCGACCGGCGCCGGGGACAGCTCCCGGGCCGCCCTGCTCTGCTGGCTGCTAATATGAAGCCCTCTCATCTTTCAGAGAGCTTCTCCGGGAGAAAGAGCGCGGTGCCAGGACCCGAGGGCGTGCCAGAGGTGGTCGAGGGTGGCCCTGAAAGGCGAGAGCATTCGGAGGGCATTAGCTGCACACCTACACTGGTCCCGCCCAGGGTAATTTGGCCTGACCAGAGGCGATGCGGCTTGCAGTGGAAACCCATGCCTAGAAGCACCCTGCTTGCCCCCAGGGTGCCCTGACCTTCGTGTGCCTCGGTGGTTTGATATGGAAAGCGTGGCGCTCCCACACCAAAAATGGCAGTGGGCGCCCTGGGGTCTCAGGGTTGGGCTTCTTGTGGAAGGTCTCCTGTGGTCGAGCTCCTGCCGTACTCCAAATCCCTCATTAATCGTCCCCCGGGTCCGGTTTTTTAAGGCGCCTTCTTTGTAATTGGGGGGGTCCGGTTTATTAGGGCGCTTTCTTTGGATTGGAGCTTAGGGGGTCCCGCTTATTCGGGCGCCCCGTCGAAGACGGGGGTCCGGAATAGCAGGTCGCATTTGGAGGGGGGCCCGGTTTTTAGGGGGGGGCCTGACTCCAGATCAGCCCTACTTGGCTTTTTTTTCCAACTTGAAATTGCGTCGGAAATCCACCTAGAAGAGGCCGAAAAAGTAGGGCGGAAATTGCTGCACCCAACATGAAATGGGGCGGAAATCCACAGAAACAGCAACAGAAAAGTAGGGCAGAAATTGGCATCAGCGGGGCTTGAAAAGTAAGGCGGAAATTCCAAGCCCTACTTACGAATTTCCCCAAAGTAGGGCAGATCTGGAGTCAGGGTATTCAAAAATGGGAAGAAATAGGCGGGGGACGATTTTTCTAGTATGTTTCGCAATTTTTGATTGTGTGTTGGCTCTTTTAAGTTTTCCTCGAACGTCCGCGTGTCCGAGGACATGCCCGACCCAACCCCAGAGGCCCAGAGGCCAGGTGCGGCGGCAAGGGAAACCCAGGCGTGGCGAGTTTTTCGGGGTCGCCGCGACCGGAGAGGGCCAGCGCTGATCGAAGGCCAGCCAGCCCTGAGAGGAGAGGGCACGGCCTGTTCGACTCGAACGCCTTGACGCTCCGCGCATCCCGCCAGCCCATCCAGAGGCAGATCGCCAGGCGAACTGCCTTGATCGGGGAAGTGTAGAAGCATGCAGTGTAAGAACCGCCTTGGAAGTGTTTTCTCGGAGCTCTCTTGGAGCCATCTCGGGTCTCTCTTGGGGTCCTCGCGGAGCCATTTGGGGCACTCTTGGGGCCCTCTTCGGGTTCTTTTGGGGGGTCTAGGTGCCCTCTCGGGGCTCTTCGGGGGCGTCTGGGAGGCCTCTTGGGGCAAGTTGGGTCATCACTGTTCAAAAAGAGGGGGTGTTGAATTCAGATCCCCCCTCGGAGGCTCAAACATTGCGTCTCGGGGCTGTCTTGGGGCGCTCTTGGGGCGCTCTTGGGCGCTCTTGGGGCCGTCTTGTGGCCCTCTTGGGCACCTCTTGGTGCTCTCTTGGACCGTCTTTGGGCCATCTTGAGGCCTCAAGAACCCATCGGAAGCGAAACTGTGAGAAGGCAAAAACATAGATCGTCCTAGGAATTGCGGGCAATTTTGGCCTCTTGGGGGCTTCCCTTGGCGGCTCGAAGCGCACTTGAAATCGTCTTGGCGCCGTCTTGGAGCTTCTTGGAGATATGTCAGAAGCTATCTTGAGCCATCTTCGGCTATCTTGAGCCATCTTGGAGGCCATCTCGGGCTCTCTGAGGCCATCTTGGAGCCATCTTGAGCACTTTGACGCTCTAACATCTCGCGGGGCGCCCGGTCCAGACCCAGGGGAGGGGGGAGGGGGAGGGGTAAACCTCTCTTCCGAGCAGTGGAAGGAGGGGTTTTGGGCAGAGAGAAGACACAAATCGTTAAGCCACCTACGCCCAGAGTGCTGGTGGGATGCGAATTTGGTACAGCTCCAGTTCGACTCTAGCTCCAAGCTCGACTCAAGTTCAAGTCAAGTTCGACCCAACTAGACGGACGTCCGACGCAGCATCGACGCATGATTGGTGCGAGTGGCTGTAGGGAAGGTCCCCCAGACGAGCATGGAGAGAAGCATCCGCGCCCGCGCAGGCGTGTCTTTTTGTTTTTGCCTTTACCATCCGGGTCATGACGCGCGTTATGCCTCCCCCCTCACCCCGCTACCCCCTTCCATAGCGTGCCGCCCGCGCGAATATGCACATCGGGCGGGGCCATAGGACGGGGGCAAATCCGTTCCAGAGCGGTCTGGGACGCTCTCAGGGCGTCCCGGGACGCTCCGAGAGGGCCGCGGCGCTCGAGACGTCCGTCAGAGCCGCCGGATCTCAGAGATTCTCGCTTTGTCTTCACCCGAATTGATCCTCGTCCTGGCTTCGTCTTAGCATCACCGAGCGCGTTACACTGCTCGCAAAGTGCCCACCCGCAAACGCCCGAAAAGCACATGTCTGCTCCGTTGTAGTTTCTACCGGATCGGTTGATGGGCAGAATCATGCACCAGCCGCGCAACCGGGGCGACGGCGCAAACTTCCATGCGCCCCCCTGCCCCCGATTCAATGTTGATGGGCTGCGCCCGCGGGGTGCAGGATTTAGGCCAGTCGGCGGATCGACAAATCGCGCCACAGCCTTCCAATATTGAAGTGGGGGCGCGGGGGCGAAAACAAAAATCTTGAACAAAAAAGGTGCAGGAGTTTGTCCATCAACCGATCCCCTCCGGCGGATCTGGGCCATTTGCGAGTAGTCGCTTTGCGAGTAGTGGAGCGCACTCGTCTATGGCGAGCAGATGCCCTCCACCTCCGCACGGGGGGAGGCGGGTCCTGAGGCAGACGGGTCTCCTGGACGCTGGGGCTCTCCCCCAGGACCAATTCTCTTCTGGGGGCAACGATAGGGGGGGATAGGCACAGGGGGGGATGCATCGACCCCCAAATCGCCCATGGATCGCCGATGGGGACGCGATAGCTCCACCCAGCCCAGGAACGTGCGGATTCACTATCGGGGGCCTCTCACCGATCTATCGGCGATGTATATCGCCCATTCCAGGTCAATGTTTCCCCCTATGCCTGTTCCCCCCTATCGCTGTCCCTCATCTTCATCCCGAGCCATTTTCATGACGAGCCCGGGGCCGTGGAGGACCCCGAGGGCCCGAAAACGGCAGAAAGCCTCAGGACAGGGTCGGGCATGCCCCCCTGCAGGCAGATTTCGGACGACAAATCAAAAGTTTTCAACAAGTACTCAAAAATAATCCCAAATAGTCAAAAATCGTCCCCGTATTGTTTTTTACTATTTTGAATATTCCTCCTGTAGAGGGACACGCCCGACTTGACCTCAGGACTTGTTTCCCTCAGGACCAGCTTCCCCCAGGGCGACCACTTACTTTGCATCTTCGGGGGGGCTTTCCTGTGCTGTGCATGGCAGTCCTTTACTGTACTGCGACGAGGATTCGACGCAGATTCGACATGGATTCGACACTGATCCGACACCGTTTCGACACGGACTCGACAAGGATTCGACGCGCTCGACACGGATTGGACGTGGATCGCGGTCGCGGCGCGACGGGACAGGCGAGGTCCCCCGAAGATGCAACACAAGACCACCCGACGTCGACGATGCATCGCCGGTGCTTCCCCGATGCATCGGCGATGCGGTGTGATCCTCCGACCCACTCTGCTCCGACCCCATCCAGGATGCCGTTACCCATGGCGACCATTCCTCCTCCTCCTCCTCCTCCTCCTCCTCCTCCTCCTCCTCCTCCTCCTCCTCCATTCCTCCATTCCTCCATTCCTCCATTCCTTCCTCCTCCTCCTCCTCCTCCATTCCTCCTCCTCCTCCTCCATTCCTCCTCCTCCATTCCTCCTCCTCCTCCTCCTCCTCCTCCTCCTCCTCCATTCCTCCTCTTCCATTCCTCCTCCATTCCTCCTCCATTCCTCCTCCATTCCTCCTCCATCCTCCTCCTCCTCCATTCCTCCTCCTCCCTCCTCCTCCACCTCCTCCTCCTCTCCTCCTCCTCCTCCTCCTCCTCCTCCTCCTCCTCCGCCTCCGCCTCCCTCCTCTCCTCCTCCTCCTCCTCCTCCTCCTCCTCCTCCTCCTCCTCCTCCATTCCTCCTCCTCCATTCCTTCATTCCTTCCCCCTCCCGATCCTCCCAGGCTCGGCCGTGCTGCCCGGCTTCGCCCGCGCGGTGGACCTGGCCCCTGGCGTCGGCGGCGCGCTGGCGGTGCTGCGCCTGCGGCGGGCCTCCGCCGCCGCGGAGGCCCGCCGCCTCCGCCGGCGCGGCTGGGGGCGAGCCCGCGCGCGCGCGCGCCGGCGAGCCCGCGCCGGCCCCGCGGGGGGGGCCCCCAGCCGGGGGCCCCGAAGGGCCTCCCGATGGCGGCCGACGGCGACGAGGAGGCTGCCGAGGGCGACGAGGACGGCGACGATGCCGAGGACGAAGACGATGAGGATGGCGACGGCGACGACGGCGACGACGATGGCGACGGCTACGGGCGACCACTGTGACGGTGACGATGGCGATGGCGTCGACGATGGCGATGGCGATGGCGATGGCGATGCGGATGCTAATGACGGCGATGACGATGAGGATGACGCCGACGATGGCGAGCGCGCGCGCGGGCCCACGAAAAGGCCTCCGGGGAGGCCCCCGAGGGGACTCCCGAGGCGGCCGAGAGGGGCCGAAAGGCGCTCGGCAGCCAAGCATGGGAGCGGTGTTCGGCGGCGAGCTGAATGCTACCTCCCAGGAGATGAAACCATTGGTAGGAGGAGGAGGAGGAGGAGGAGGAGGAGGAGGAGGAGGAGGAGGAGGAGATCATCTTCATCCGAGGGCCTGCGGCCTGCTTGAGACAGAGCGGGCGCACGACTCGGCGGCGAGCGAGGTGGGGAAGTGAGAAGGGGCGGGCCTTCTCAGAAGGCTTGGAAGTCCCTTGGGTTCCTCAGAAGTGTTCTGAGTCTCCCCCGAAGAGACAGAACGCTCATCACAAGGCCGTCACGCTTCTGAGAAGCCCCGCGCTCTTCTGAGCAGGCCTTGTCCTTCCCACTTCCCCCCCTCGCTCGCTGCCGACTTGTATGTCCTCCTGAGGCCATCGTTCGAGTGCCTTCGCCTGCGCCAGCGTTTGGCCATCGATAATAAAGCACCGAAGTGCCCTCGATTGCCGTCCATTTGGCGTCGATTACCGCGAAGGGCGTCGATCAGCGCGGAGTCACAGAAGCCAGCAAGATCCAGGAGGGAAAAAAACACAGACACAATTTAATCGCCGATTCCCCAGAAAATCTTTGAAAATATGGGAAGTGGTGGGGAAGACACAAACCCAGAAAATATGGGAACATATGGCGAATATTTTTATTTGTGTGTATTTATTTGTGTGTCCCAGGGCCCCTGCAAAGATGGCCTGGGACGCTCCCGTGAGCTGCCGCCGACGAGGCCATCCCCGAGCTGGCCCCCATGGGAGGTGGCCCGCCAGCCGGCACGGCGGGCCCCCTGGACGGCCCGCGGGGAGGCACCCGAGGGGCCACACGCCGCTGGTGCTCTGCAGAGCTTGGCACGACCCTTCGCCTTCTCGCCGCTCCGGCGGCACGAGCCTCCGAGACTTAAGTCGGGCCTGTCCCCCTACAGCGAGCGGCTTGAAGAAGGAGCACTTACTTTTCAAAAAGGGGCTCGGTCGTTCCTTAGGTTCGCATGCGTTCCGCAGCCCTTTTGGCGGCGAGCCCCCCTGGTGTCCCTTCAGATTTTGGACGCGCGGGTCGGCCGTTCCTTCGGACCTCGTAAACTTACTTGGACAAAAAAGGGGCTTCGTTCCTTATCTATCATTCCTTAGGTCAGGCCGATGACTGTAGAGGGGGAATATCCCCAACATGGCTTGTAACAAAACTACGGTGACGATAGTTTGACTATGTTTGACCATGTTTGATTTTTTGGGGAGTGCCTTTAAGTTTTCCCTCCGAGACCGCCCCCGCGGGCCCTGACTCCGGATCCGCCCTATTTTTTGCTTTTTTTTTCCAATTTAAAATTGCGTCGAAATTGCTGCACCCAACATAAAATAGGGCGGAAATCCACAGAAACAGCAACAGAAAAGTAGGGCGGAAATTGGCATCAGCGGGGCTTGAAAAGTAAGGCGGAAATTCCAAGCCCCACTTACGAATTTCCCCAAAGTAGGGCGGATCCGGAGTCAGGGGGGGCCTCAGAGCGCACCCCCACATATGGGCCAGCTGCCGCCCGCGAGGGCCCCCCCCCGCCAAGGGACGCCCGGCGCGCGGGCGGGGTGCCGGCAGCCGGGGCGTCCCTCGGGCTTCCAAGGGCCTGGGCGTGACAAGTCGGGCACGTCCCCGCTGCCACTAACTTCCTCCTCTGTGGGCCCCGGAAACGGCAGGGCTGTTTTTTCATTGTTTCCAAAAGAGGTTCCTTGAACATGGAAGCGGCAAAACAACGACGACCGGAAACGGCAAAAAAACGGCTCCAGGATCCAGGATTGGAACCGGAGCCGGAACCGGTCAAACAACGGCGACGGAACCGGTAAAATAACGGCGTCGGAATCGGCAAAAAAACGGCAAAACGGAACTGGTAAAAAAACGGCCTTGTCGTTTCCAGGGCCCACGAAGACTTCCTCCGATTTCCGACCAAAAGAAAATGGCATAACATGGTATATAATGAGTGACTTATAAGGGGGCCCTTCATATATGAGCGCAGCGGAGCTGCGCTGAACGTCGTGCTAGCGGCACGAAGCTCGCACCGGAGGGATACTTCTGGAGGAATATACCCAGATGATGCGCTACCGAAAATTTTCGGTAGCGAGTTTGCATGATGGGGAGCGACCGAAAATCAAAACGAGTGGTCCAATCCCGGTATTGCAAGACGAAGTGCGCGTGATGCCGATACTGGGATTCAGATTCGGGATCTCGGTATTTCGCGACCGATTCTTCGGCATGTTCGCTCCCGAAAACCGACGACGCGAGCGTCCTCCAATCCCGGTATTTCACGACCGATTCTTGCGCCCCTCGATCGTGTGTAAATCGCGCTTCGAACACACATGCGCGTCAAACGTTTGCTTGCCAATCGCTGCAAACGTTTGCTGCGTACGTGTGCTTGTAGGTGTAAACGACTAACCCACGAACTGGACCATTAACCAAACTACACTAGATTCCGAAACTACTTACATAAAGTACCCACTGCACTCAGCTAAGCTACTGACTACTTACTAAACTATTACTAGCAGCACTGCGCATGCATATTCTAAACTATTAACCTACGGCTGCGACTTCAATTCGGCCGCGGCTTCAATGCACAACCCGCCTTACTAACTAGCCACCACCACCCCCACCATCACAACCATCGCCATGATCATCGGCATCGGCAGACACACCAGCGTCACCATCATCTGCGTCAACATCGGTATCATCGTGGGCGCCATCGTAAGATCAGTACTGCCACCATCACCACCTGAGCCATCGCCAACACGATCGCTACCACACTCACACCAGGCACAATAATGTCGTTGTAGTGGTGCACGTGCAAAGTTCAGTGATGACCGTGTGCATTCTAGTTCGCTGTGTTGGGTCTCCGACGTGCAATGTCTCGGGAGTTTTCAGGACGCCTCTTTAAGCACCCTAGGGGCCATCTCGAAGCACAGCGAGGACCCCGAAGGAACCCCCTCAGGGAGAATGTACTTGCAGGGTGTCGTTGCGCAGGGCATTGCAGGGTTGCTTAAGTGAGTTGCAATGGGTTGTATGGTTGCTTTGCAGGGTACATCAGGGTATCGCAGTGTCGTTTTGCAAGGTACCGCACGTGAAATTAGGCTTAGGTATGCCCCATATGCCACATGTGTAATCTCATCGCGCTGCCCCAAACAGTGCTTGCAACCATGCTACACAACATGCGGCACCCATCAAATATCACGACAACACAGACCACCACCACCCCCCCAAAAAAACTGGCACAACTTAGACAGTATGCCCAAGCACAACCATGCTGTCCAGTCATGGACTCATAGCCTGGTGGAGTTCTTAAGCCAGAAGCCTGGGCCCCTGTGTCACAAGACTTGGCGTCTGAACCCTGAACCGCAAACCTTCCTCACATATAGAGGAGGGTGGGTGGACGAGGCGGAGGAGATGGATGGGGCAGCCAATCATCCCAGACCACCGTTGCATAACAATGAGCACGCGGTTTGATATGTGCGGTTGGTTAAGGAGGGCTGGATTAGCGTTCGTTTGGGCGTGGAGGTCGTGAGCGGTATATCGAGCTCGTGTTGGTACACTGGCATGTGATCGCACTGGTAGGGTCTCGGCGGACGGCGCCGCTGGGGGCGTAGGGGCCACTGCGGACTGCGCCGTCCGCAACCATGCGGACGGCGCCGCTGGGGCCGTAGGTGGAGCTCCCTTTGGGGTCACGAAGCGTGTGAGGGGTGTGCCAACGTAGGGCGGCGCCGCCGTGCGGACGGCGCCACTGGTGCCTTCGGTGGGGCTTCCTATGGGGCCACGGCACGTGTGAAAGGGTGTGCCAAAATGGCCGTCGATGATGGTGACGATAACGGCGATAATGGCGATGACGATGATGATGATGATGTTGATGATGATGGTGATGATGATGATGATGAAGGTGATGGCGACGGCCATGATGATGTTGATGATGCTGATGATGACGGCGGTGACGATGACGATGGTGAGTGATGGTGGTGGGTCGGTGGGGAATGCTGACGATTTTGATTGGCGGTGCTCTTCATCATTGTAGCGCTTCGCTATGCAAGTATCGTGGTCACCAGTATCAGGTTCACAATCGTATTCGTCAGCGTATCATCATCAACATCATCATCATCAGCAGCAACATCATCATATCAATCGCCTTTGCAGCATGCACGGTTTCGATTATCATTGCCACATTCATTACTGCACATCACAGCCATAATTTGAAATTCCATGTTACCACCATCATGTCCCATAACGTCAACCATCAATCACTGGCATCATCAACATCATCCTCCTATACAGTGTGCTCCTCCTCCTGCTGATCATCCTTATCCACGTGGTGCTCGCCCGCCTGCTGAGAATCCTGTATCCTCCTTTTCTCCCTCCTCTACCATATCTGATTTCCGTTCTACAATTCCTCGTAATATTGATTATGGGCTTGGTTTGTAAGGACACGGGGAAGCCCCCAGCGGGATCCCCGAGTCCGAGGGGCCCAACGCGGTCCCAAGAGTGCCCAAACAGGGCATCAAATGTGCGAAGGGGTGCGCCAACGTGGGGCGGCGCCGTCATGCGGACGGCGCT